GGTTCCTTCTCTAGTAAGAATGTTTATATGTTGATTTTAAAAATATTTTCTTGAACACATTTAACAAATTCAAACCTTTAACACTATGGTAGTCTCAATCAATGTCTGGAAAATTAAAATCACCTACTGTTACAACCTTGTTATTCTTACATATATCTGAGAACTCTACATATTTGTTCCTCAATTTCCCTTTGACTATTGGGAGGTCATTAGTACAAATAGCATCCAGGTAATCATTTCCACTTTTATTGCTAATTTCAATTATTTTCACAATGATTTTTCTTTAGAAATATCTTCTCTAGTTACAGCAGTAATGTTTATCTCAATCAAAAATGCCACTTGCTGGCTTGCCTCTTTCCCTATCTTTCCTCATAGTATCTGAAACCTAGAACGCTAAGCTGCCAGTTTTGTCTGTCCCTGAGCCAAATTTCAATAACAGCTGGCTAATTATGGTGTGGATAATTCTACCATCTTATTGTCCCTTTCTACTGTAGGTTTACGGTGCTTGTACCAGTCCTATTTGCCTTCATTCAATGAATACAATTTCCCAGAAACAAGTCTTGAATGTGAATGGTGTTCAACAAAAGAAAAGTTGTGAACATAAACATGCTATATCTTCATCTCAATGGCCACTTGGAACATGACAGTGGATTGCATATGCAGAACTATATCCTAGCAAGATGTCAAATAGCTTTCAAACAGCAGAGTAGAGGGGAAAGTGAATAAGCAGAACCAGATATTTAAACAGTGAAAAGTAACCAAAATCTAATTCTCTCATTCTACTTATGGCATTTGCTGTTTCTAGGTACCGAATCAGCAATCAACTGAAGATAACAAAGAAAATTCTAATTAAATTTATAAAGGCATTTATAAATGAGGAAGGGACAATAGCAATGATCAACACTATCAATGTCCTGTAAATTTTGAATGATACTTCTGGAAATAAAACATACTAGAATGTATGGAAACAATCCAATTCATCACTATACTGTCAAAAAATATCTTTGAGATGGCTCTGTCTCAGTATTGTTTCATCTTCTATCCAACATTAGTGTAAGGTACATAAGGGAGGCATTACTTTAGAAAAGTCATACTTTTAGGGTTTTTTTTTTGCCTCATGCAATAGCCAACAGTCCATGTCCTTAAAAACAGGGCTTACGTTGGAATGTCATAATCTGATTTAAGGATAGCAGGAGGCTTTCTGTTGTCTGCACAGATGAGAGGCTTATGGAAATATTAAAACCAACTGGGGCATAATGGTTAAGAATCACAACCAATATGTGAAACCCAAAAGAAAGAAATCACAATAATTTGCAATTAGATTATACACTTCATATAGCAAATTATTCCAAAGTACTTAACACACATAATCAGGTAAAAATAGATGCCAAACCAATGGAGAAAGAGACTTTGCTGACTTGGGTTTCAACTAAGGCAATGATAAGAGATACAGAATTGGTCTTTGTGTGCTATCAGATTGGGCTAGAAGTGTTGAGAAAGAGAGACACATGCACTGGCTAGGATTCCCATTCTCAATTATCATCTAGGTAATCCTTACTAGAGTAACTAGGATCATTGAGCAACGTATGTTCAGCCTCCATTGAGATGCCCTGCATGGTATCTTGCTTACATTCACAATCTAATGTGGTACATAAAACATAACTTCCTTTGTGAAGTGGGCAGGCAGCCACAATCAAAATTAAACCTAGCTTCTTGGTGTGACAACACATCTTTAAGTCATCTAGGATTCAAATGTAGTTTGACCATATTCCATGTATTGATGAACCACTTGGGAATTGAATGAGAGATGATCTCATTGAAAAAGAAATTTCTTATAGAGCTTAATAGATGCAGGGAGGATGTTTCCATGGTTGGGGGTGTCTAGAACTAGGGAACAATGTTTGAGAATAAAGGGCCCATTAGGAACGAAATGAGAAAGAGGAATTTCTTATACAGTGTAAATCTTCCAAATTGTTTTGTACTAGACAACTGTGGAGACTCAGTCAAGGAGTTAGTTCAAGACAGAAATTAATTGATTTCGAGATGTGGGGATAGTGTGGGATAATGGCATTGAGGTAGACCAGCCTTGTGGGATGGAGGAACAAGCTCAAAGGGCCAGATGTTCTTCTACTATTTCCTATTTGACAAGTATAAGGGAATCATTGCAATGCTGTGCAAATGTCTGACCTAAATATTTTTGGCTGCTATAAATATCATCTATCCTTGGAGATTTAGTACATTTGATTCCCCTCGATCTAAGACTTCTTTCTCATGTATGTAGAAATTATGAATGAACGACTTCAATTTGAGGAGGGAGATTGAGGAATTTTAGTGAGCCTGTGGAATTCTCTGTCACAGAAAGCAGCTAAAGCCAAAGCACTGAACTTTGGGCAAAGGGGATCAAAAGAATGGGGAGAAAGCAGGAACAGGGTACTTCGTTGGATGATCAGCCAGATCCTCGTGAATGGCAGAGAAGTTTCGAAGAGTCAAATCACCTATTCCTGCTCCTTTTTTTGATGTTACCATTATTCCTATTTGTGAATAGTTAGTCATAGAGTCAGAGTTGTACAGAACAGAAACAGACCCTTTGGTCCAACTCGTCCATGCTGACCAGATATCCTAAATTAATCTAGTCCCATTTGGTCCATATCCCTGTAAACCCTTCCTATTTATATATCCATCCAAATGCCTTTTAATTGTTGTAAGCCTCCACCACTTCCTCTGGCAGCTCATTCGATACACGCAGCACCCGCTGCATGAAAAAGTTGCTCCTTCGGTCCCTTTTAAATTTTTCCCCCTCACCTTAAACCTATGCCCTCTAATTTTGGACTCCCCTACCCTGGGGAAAAGATCTTGGCTATTCACCCTAGCCACACCCCTCATGATTTTATAAACTTCTGTAAGGTCACTCTTCAGTATCTGATGCTTCAGAGGAAATATCGCCAACCTACTCAGCCTCTCCCTAAAGTTCAAACTCTCCAACCATGGCATATCCTTGTAAATCTTTTCTAAACCCTTTCAAGTTTAACAACATCTGTACTAAAGCAGGGAGACCAGAACTGAATGCAGTATTCCAATAGTGGCCTAACCAATGTCCTGTACAGCCACAACATGACTTCCCATCTCCTATACACAATGTACTCACCAATGAAGGCAAGCGTACCAAACACCTTCTTCACTACTCTGTCTACTTGTGACTCTACTTTCAAGGAACTATAAACCTGCACCCGAAGGTCTCTTTGAACGGCAACACTCCCTGGGATCTTACCATTAAGTATATAAGTCCTGCCCTGATTTGCCCTACCAAGATGTAGAACCTAATATTTGTCTAGATTAAGCTCCATCTGCCAATCCTCGGCCAATCAGCCCATCTGATCAAGGTCCCCTTGTACTCTGAGGTAACCTTCTCTGTCCACTATACCAATTTTGGTGTCAACTGCAAACTTACTAACCATACCTCCTACATTCAAATCCAAATCATTTATATAAATGTCATAAAGCAGTGGACCCAGCACCAAACCTTATGGCACACTGCTGGTCACAGCCCTCCAGTCTGAAAAGCCATCCTCTGTCTCGTACCTTTGAACCAATTTTGCGTCCAAATGGGCTAGTTCTCCCTGCATTTCATGTGATCTTACCTTATTAACCAATAACCATGAGGAACCTTGTTGAACTCCTTACTGAAGTACAGATAGACAACGTCCACTGCTCTGCCTTCTTCCATCCTCTTTGTGACTTCTTCAAAAAACTCAAATTAGTGAGACACGATTTTCCACACACACACAGCCATGTTGGCTATCCCTAATCAGTCCTTGCCTTTCCAAATGCGTGTAAATCCTGTCCCTCAGAATCCCCTCCAACAACTTGTCCACCATTAATGTCAGGCACACCGGTCTATAGACTCCTGGTTTTGATTTACCACATTTCTTAAAATAATGGCACCACATTAGCCGACCTCCAATCTTCCAGCACCTTCCTAGCTTCCGACAGAGTTCTAGGGTACACCTGATCAAGTCCCAGGGATTTATCCACCTTTGTGTTTTAAGACATCCAACACCACCTCCTCTGTAATATGGACATTTTCAAGATGTCGCTATTTATTTCCCCAAGTTCTCTAGCTTCTATATCCTTCTCCATGGTAAACACTGATGCAAAATACTTGTTTAGTAACTCACCCATCTCCTGCGGTTCCACGTATAGGTGGCCTGCTGATCTTTAAAGGGCCCTATTCTCTCCCTATTTACCCTTATGTCCTTACTGTATTTGTAGAATCCTTTTGGATTATCCTTAACCTTATTTGCCAAAGCTACCTCATGTCCCCTTTTTGCCCTCCTGATTTCCCTCTTACGTATATTTCTACTGCCTTTATAGTCTTCTAAAGATTCACTCGATCCCTGCTGTCTATACCTGACATATGCTTCCATCTTGTTCTTAACCAGAACCGCAATTTCTCTATAGTTATTCAGCATTCCTTACACCTACCAGCCTTGCCCCTCACCTGAACAGGAACATACTGTCACTGGATTGTAGAATTTCATATACAGTACTTGCAACCAGCACACGGGTACTGGTTTTGAAGGGGGGCTTCAGTTTTAAGCCAGTCCTGCTGCTTTGGCTAGAAACTTCAAATGTAGTTTTGAAAAAAAGTTACATATTGAGAGAAAGAAACAATCATGGCCATAAACCAGAATGGTCCAACACCTGGTACTACAAAATTTCAGTTCGCTGGATATATCATACCGGCACCAGTTTAGAAAATGAACACATCATATAGTATGAAGCAGATAGATAATCGAGTGTCCTTTCCAATTATGCTACAGCTAATGTAAAATGTATCACATCATAAAATAAACAAGCAACTTCAGAAAAAAATTGGACACATTAACTTGGAGCAGTTTTCAAATTGGAATGATTAAGAAAATGCATTTCTTTACCTTATCAGAAACTAGCATTATATGAATTAGTTGGTAAGATAACAATATTAATTTTGGACCAAGATGTAAAGATTATAACACTTTTATATTATAGTTTAGTGTTTTAGCTTTATATAGTAAAGATTTACATCTAAAACACAATAATAGAATGTTATCCAATCTACATATTTGTCAGAAATGAAATTAGCAACATAGGCGTTTTTAGCTACTGAAATTCATTGATTTACATAATCACCTTTAAGCAATATGCAATACCCAATTTCAATATGAAATCCAGCAATTTTCCCATGCTGAATATCTGGTAGTTGTATCCTGGTACTACAAGAAGAAGCAATGCTCAATATATGTCTGTACTTCAATTCTGGCTGTGTTATTTTGTATTCTATACAAATAAACAAGTATTCTGCCAATTATTAGCGTTATGGAAGGGTTAGCTTGCATAGATAACAAGGTCACTTATACTGAACAATGATGTGAAACGTTTCAGTACAAAATATGTTTGCTCTGCAAAACTATGTGAAATAATAAACTACATTTTTAAGTATATCGCTGCCAACATTTTATACATACTACATAGAAAATAAATTATTGCAACTGCGTGAATCTCAAGTGCAAATCTTGAGCAACTTGTCAGTTTTTAAATGGTACATTTTGTGACAACGACATTGTCTCTAAAGTAGTTGGAGTCAAATTTGGTCATGTTGGCTAACACAGACAGATTTTCCATGGGTTGGATACCCTACATCCCTGAGAGCAGCTGATAAATGAAGTTTGATTCTAGATGAATTTATGCAAACATGGAACATAGCTTTATTTTTAGAATGTAAATCTGTTCATTAAAAATGTATTCATTATTTATCTCTTGTACCAAATATACTCAACTAACCTTTGAAAGCATTTCCATTGTAGTTTCATTGGAGTCTGTACGTCTGTCAATTGTATTATAACTTGCCAAATTTCTGCCCATGGCTGCAAAACTTGATGGGCAGAAGGGCTTTTCTTTGCTTCTACATCACTGAGAATTATAATGCAGTTAGTTGACAGGAAGTGTGTTTTAAACAGATATTTCTTGTCCATCATTGTAATGATGTAAGTCAGCTGTTCTTTTTATTACAATTCAATCGTGAAAATTTGGAGCAATCATATTGCTTCTGTTGGACAATACAAACCACCATGGAAAAAAGGGAAAGAAGTTATTTTATTTTTTCTGACACATAGAACTTTGCTGAAATAGTTGGATGTGAATTGTTTGAATATCAATATGAGCAAAGTCTGCACAACCTGTGTAGCCATCTGCATCTTGACTCCATGACACTCTTAACGAATGTATTCTCTCTACACAGTACTTCATTTTCTCTATTTTTTTTACTCTGATTTCTTTTCCTCTACCATATTCACATTTTGGTTTTACCACAGTCATTAGGGTGATTCAGCTTTATATCCTATGACAGTGAACAAGTTTTTTGGAAAAAAACAAAAGACATTAGATTTGAGAACTTTACTGGAAAGCAAAATTACAAATCTTCTCTTCATGGCAGGCAAAGTGTTCTTGTGCTACATTGTTCATCCATATTGATTAATGATTATTTTATTCTCAAATCAAGGTTATAAACTTAAGTGTTATGGGTACATCAGGAATTTGAAATCAAGATGCTTTATTAGAGGTTTTGCAGAATGTGTCAAGCTTAAATTGGGTTTACATACCAATGAATACTTGATTTTCAAGGTACTTCCTTTCACACAATTAAGAACGACACATATAGATTTTATTTCTGGATTCAAATATGCCCTTGCAGATTCATTGTATGCTAATTTAATCTGTGTTCCTTGCATTATTGAGGAAGTTAAAAGACAAAAGAAATACCATGATGAAGCCTGTGGCTAAATTCTGTGCTCCCACCTGAGTGGATTGGAGACAGGCAGAGGGTATAAAATTGAGCACCTCTCCTGCTGTGGTGATTCAAGAGCGAACCCCTGCCCTAGCCACAAGTTTTTCTGTGGCAGTCAGAGAATCATGTCAAGTGAAAGGCCCAGAAACTTTCACTTCTCATGTCTGTGAGCAAGGGACAGCTGGCAGTTGGGTATCACATTTACAGGTCCCCACCCATTCCACACAATCCACCTTCTGGTTCCTCTAGTGCCATTTCACCCCTGCCCTTCACACATTTCACCAGCAATACCTTCCCTACTTAACTGCAGCTCCAGCACTGACTGGTTGAAGTTTCAGCTGTGATCTCAGATAGAATCATAGAATCCCTACAGTGTGGAAACAGGCCCTTTGGCCCAACAAGTCCACACCGACTCTCGAAGCACACACACAGACCCATCCCCTATAACCCACCTAACCTACACATCCCTGGACACTATGGGACAATTTAACATGGCCAATCCACTTAGCCTGCACATCTTTGGACTGTGGGAGGAAACCGGAGCACCCGGAGGAAATCCACGCAGACACGGGGAGAATGTGCAAACTCCGCACAGACAGGGTGGAACTAAACCCAGGTCCCTGGCGCTGTGGCAGCAGTGCTAACCACTGAGCCAACGTGCCGCCCCAGATGTGAGCGGCATTGCTGCGACCAGAGAGTTGCCAGCCACTTGACCTACCAGAAGTACTCAGAGTAGAACTTCCATCCAGCTGAAGATGGAAATCTCTACTTGAATTACTTAATGGCCCACCCACTATTATATGGTAGCTGGGCACAAGTGGGGAAAACACACCCAGACATCTAAGCTGTGTGTAAAGTCCCAGCCTTACTGATCTGTGACTTGGATATGTATTATGGTATCTGACTAAGGTTCTGTATAACATACAGCACTGGCAGATGGCGACAACTGCCAAATACACGTTTTGGAACCTTTCAGTACTAGAGTATGCCAAAAATTGAATATTACAGTATTTAAATCTGTTTGTCTTAGTAATGTTATGTTTCATGGAAAATATCTCCATAAAATTAAAAACACACATACCACCTTTCATCCATACTGAACTAGATGATGAAACAAACTGTAGAAGACTTGCAGTAATATTCTCAGTTTTGTTCTTTGTGCAAATGCAAATGGCATATTTTTGATGAATAGTGTCCTAGCTTGTGGGAAGCATTATTACAATCAAGTTTTTGGTTTGCTGAAGTAAGTCCCATTAGAACTCTCAGGAAAATAAGCCTCAGTTCTGTACAGACTGGGTAGCTCATACGTTGTGTTCTGTTGTTTAGGTGAGCTGCATTTCTTCTGCAACACAAAAAAAAACAGAAAAACATGCTAAACGATTGAAGAGAAGCAAAATTTGAAATATAGCTGCATATACATGAACAGACTGCTAACTTGCTCAGCAATGAAAAAAATCAGAAGACTGCGCCCCTAACCGCGCATCCCCACCATGACCACCTGCAAAATAAAAATGAAAACTGCAATATCAATGGTATTAGGCTGGGCCAGGTCCAATCTCACTTACATATTCTGACAAACTTAAATCAAGGAACTAGACGTTTATCATCTAATGTTGAAAACTGTTACAGTGAATCAATGAAGAGAATAATTAAAACGTATCAAACAAAACTATATTTTCTGCTTTATAACTTTGCTTACATTTAGAAATGAAGGTGCACTAATTGAATGTAGAAATCTACGAACAGCATGAGGCAAGTTTCCACAGTCCTTTTCTGCCTGGATCACTTGTTGCTCAAGTGTAGCTGCATTCTGTCCAACCATCTTCACAAAAGTCTACAATAGGAGTTACAAGATCCATAAAATATTTGCTACACCAAACATATAAATTACTATTTTCACCAAAAGTTGCATCAGGGCTCCAGTATTATACAGCTTCACTATTTTGCCCATTATTTCTGGTAAAAAGTAGAATTGTTTGCCTCTAGTTGAAGCATTAATAACAAGACGGTATAGTTTTAAGGTGAAAGACAGAAGGTTAGAGGAAATTTGAGGAGTTTTTTCACCCGGAGGATGGTGGAAATCTGGAATACACTGCTTGGGAGGGTAGTTGAGGTGGGAAACCTCAACCTTTAAAAAGTACTTGGATGAGCACTTGAAATGTCATAACAGTCAAGGTTAATAGGGCAAGTGCTGGAAATTGGGACTAGTGGAGATTTAGAGCTTTTTTCGTTGACATAGACTCAATAGGTCAAAGGGCTTTTCTGTACTGTATGATTCTGTGATTCAAGGTAGGTCAGAACATATGAACAAAGTTTGTGGTGTTCTATATGCATCAATGTAATTTCCATTTATTCATATTCATGTCAGTATAAATGTTATAAATCTTGTATTTAGCACTACTTGGTATTAATGAGGAGAATGTGAAGGAAGAGGGAATAAAAGATTATGGTAGTAGAATTAACTGAGAAAAGATGGAAGGCAACTTCAGTGCAACATAAACACTGGCATGTATTGGTTGGCGAAACAGCCTGTTTTTGTGCTGCATATCCTATTGAAATTTGAAGGCAGATGTTACAGAGATATCTAACAATTTGATATACACAAATTACCTAATTTCTCTACTTTGTTCTGTTGAAGAGTTGCAGTTTGACTCCCATCAACTCTACATTTACAGCAAAATTAATTTTGTATTGGATTTTCTTAATCTTGAAAGAGCAAAAACGGTGAGAGGAGAGTCATGTTTTTTGAGGCTGCAGCATCAACTTTCTGATATCACGGAATCAAACAAGAACACCTATCAACAAAGTAAATCACACAAACCAGGAAGGTCTCAAGTTCAATCTGCAGTCTGCACCAACTTAGTTTATTCACCCAGGAAACGAACAGCAACTGACTTCACTACCAACCAGGAGGAGAACACTACACAGGATCGCAATCCTGATCACAATATCAGAATCCCTGGGTTGAAAAGGGAGAGCAAAAAAAAGTATGTGGGTAGCAGTGGAATCAAGCTCAGCTCCTTATAATGCTCTTCACCTTTTCATGGGTTGCAGGTATAAGTACTGCCAATTTGCACATATGGATACTGGTCAATACTGCAGGTTGTCAGCTATCCCTCGATTACATGGTGAAGTCTAGTCATGGTTGCTAGTGTGGATAATACGGGTAATGACAGAGTTAATAGCAAACTGCACCTTAACAACTAACCAACAACTTCAAAACAATGGAGAGGAGGAAATGCAATAAGAAAAAAAATAGGTTCTCAATTAATTTATCAGTTACTAGAAACTACTTTTCCCTGTGTGTATGTTTGATACCATGTTGTTGATTTTTCAGCTCATTTTACTGAGAGATTCTGAACATAAATTCATTTAGAGGCATTGTATATGTGCACTGAATAATGTCACTGCAGAGACAGAAAAAGAGAGATGGATGAATGAGCAAAGAATCGTTAAATATCAAATTGTAAAAGATTTAACGTACTTCTTGAACCAAAAGATCGTTTCTGTTTAGACGTGTGAAATTTAGAAGCTATTTAAATGTTAAGATGAATATCAACAGATGGATTTACTATGCTTATAAATAACATTGAAGCTGTGTCTTGAATTATTAAGTACAGACAGTAAGGTATAAAATAAATGCCAAAAGATCTTTGCAATTTACAAATGGTTGGTGGTAGAAGGTGAAGTTCTTCTCCAAGCACGCAAGAAAGCCTGCTTTTAGCTTATTACTGCCCTTCAAACAACATTCTGTTTAAAATGTGTGAATTATATTACAGTTGGACAATGGTTGTTTTGCTTTTTGGGTAAATGGTTGTCAGTTCCCAAAGATACTTTCTTCATAGAGATAGCTTAGCAAATGCCATAAACTTAATTTACTTGGTTCAAAGTTCATTACCCTCTCATTGAAAAGGCCATTCTCAAATAAAATATAAAAGTAGTCAGACGTTCAGTCAAACAAGCCTGCTCTGCCATTTAATATGATCATGGCTCATGAAACACTACAATATCTTTGACCCACATAATTTCCAAAACCATTAATACCCCACGCCATTGTTAATCAGAAATCTATTAACCTCTACTTTAAACATACTCAAGGATTGAGCTTCCACAGCCCTCTGGGGTAGAGACTTCCAAAGATTCACAACCCTCTGAGTCAATGAATTTCTTCTCATCTTGGTTCTAACTGGTGTCACCCTTATTTTTAAATTGTGCCTCCTCACTCGAGACTCCCCAACCAGGGGATACATCTTACCTACATCTATCTTATCTATACCTTTAAGTATTCTGTAGGTTTCAATGACATCACCTTTAATTCTTTAAAAGTGTCTAGAACCAGTAGGCACAATTAAAGAAAATAACAGGGATGCCACTTAAGTCTGGTTGAGGATAAATTTATTGATTCAGAGTATTGTGAACCTTAGGCATTCTCTACTACAAAGGGCTACAGAAACTCCATTTTTGAGTATTTTTAAGGTAAGGATTGATAGATTTTTGATCACCAATGGTATACAGGATAGCGAGGTATGTCATTCACGATCATATTGAATGGTGAGGCAGGCTGACTGCGCCTAGTCAAATTCCTACATTCCCATGAATATTATAATATGTGTGCAGTTCCAAAGTATTTCAGCCAAGATGTTTGGCATAAAAACAAAATGACTGGGGAGAGTGGACCGTGAGTGCATTAATGTTATGAAGAAAATGAATAAAGATGTGGGATAAAGATTTTTGGTCCGGTATAGAAATACAGGAATATAAAGTAAAGAAGTTACAAAGCAAAACAACTCAGCTTCCTCAATTTTTACAAGTGTTTTCAGGTTCTTACAATGGTTATCCATGAAGACAATTACACAAAGATTCCTCTAAAAGAATATCAAGAATAACTTATAAAACTACAAATCGTTGTCACATTTCTGAAGTAAGCCTTTCAAGATTTAAATTTCTCTTCAACAAATCTGTCACTTCTCTTTGAACCTCATGGCCAGGGAAATGTAAATGGTGGATGTTTCCATAATGCTTTGGGGCACATCTTCTGCTATCCAAATGAGGTGACTAAATAGTACAGAGCACCTGGCGGTACATCGCTAAAGTGTAATGCTTAATTTGAGAACACTATGCATGGACTTGGAAAAGAACTCATCTGCTTTAGGATTCATGCCAAGTCTCAAGCATGTACTAGCACCAGCACTTGAGATCTACTTTACATTTAGACATTTGGATGTCAGAAATTAAATTCCATCCAGCTGTGACAAGTGCATTTTGAAAAGTTGCAAACCTCCATCTTGTCAATCTTTGCATACACCTTCTTCATTTCCAATGCCTTGACCTTTAGTTGAGGAACATTTTCATCCAGAATTTGCGATGAATCACTTCGAATCTGTCAAAAACAGAAAATTTTGGTTACCTAATGAAGTTATTTTACCCAATCAGAATATGTTTGAGATAATGCTTCATAGAAACATCACTATAATGGTTGACAGAATCAGCCAGGCACCAGGGACAGTTTGCACACTGTCAGCACATGAACCGTTAAGTATTTAAAAATAGCTCTTTTTACAAATTTGTTTGTTAGATATTAAAGTTATAATGTTATATACCCTGGATAACACCATCTATTTTGCTATAAATAGAAGAAAACTTAAATTGAACAGAAGAAAGGTGCAGGAGTAGGCCATTCAACCCCTCCAGCCTGCTCACCATTCAATATGATTCTGGCTGACCATAAAGTTCAATACCCTAATCCCGCCATCTCTCCATATCCTTTGGTCACTTTAGCCACAAGAGCTATATCTACCTCCTTCTTGAAAACATAATGCTTTGGCGTCAACTTCCTATGGTAGTGAATTTCACAGGCTCACCACTCCCTGGGTGAAAAAAATTCCTCCTCATCTCAGTTCTAAAATATTTACCCCTTTACATCCTTTCTGCATCTGACTTGTCCTGTTAGAATTTTACAGGTTTCTAAGAGATTCCCCCCTCATTCTTCTAAATTCCAGTGAATACAATCCTGACTGACTCAATCTCTCCTCATGTGACAGTTCTGCCATTTCAGGAGTTCATTTGGTAAAAGTTCACTGCACTCCCTCTAAAGCTAGAGCATCCTTCCACCGACAGAGACCAAAACTGCATACATTATTCCAGGTGTGGCCTTTTCAATGCCCTGTACAATTACAGCAAGACACCTTTGTTCCTGTAGAAAGAAATACAGTACAATCTTTAAAAGTGGTTTGATGAAACATGCAAATAATAGACATGTGGAAAATTTATGTATACTTTTCAAAAGGAAGAAAGAAACAAGTACTAACTATACAGCATGAATTACTAAGGCTACAGTTCAAGGAGATCTTGATGTATCAGTAGACCTGGCACTTATCAAGTCCAAACGCTGTCCAATGGCAATTAAAAGTAATTGAACCGATACAGAAGACATAGAAATAAAATAAAGAACTGCGGATATGGAAATCTGAAACAAAAACAAATTGCTGGAGAAACTCAGCAGATCCAACAGCATCTCTGGAGAGAAAGCAGAGTTAACATTTCAAGTCCAATGACCCTTCTTCATAACTGTTCAGACCATTCTAAAGAAGGGTCACTTGACTCAAAATGTTAAATGCTTTCTCTCCACGGATGTTGCCAGACCAGCAATTTCAGAATATATGGAGAATGTGCTGCTAAAACCACACACTCTGGTCAGACTGTAAGGACCATGTCTTCTTATTTTTGTTTTTTTTTTAAATTGTGGACTGAAATGAGAAAGAACTGTTTTAAAACCAATGTTTTGAAACTATGACTGCATGTTTTGAAAAGCAAGTCACTCAATACCCAAGCAACCAACTCAAACAAATTTTACTGAGATTACGCCCTCTCATCCTAGACAGTCCCACATGGGGAAACAACCTTTTCGTATATACCCTGTCAAGTCCCCTCAGAATCTTATGTTTCAATGGAGTCGTCTCTCATTCTTGTGGAGTCTAATGTGTACAGGACCAACCTACTTGATCTCTTCTCAAAAGACAGTCCCTCCATACACAGAATCAACCCACTGAACCTTCTCTGGACTGTCTCCAATACCAACATATCCTTCCTTAGATAAGGGGACCAAACCTGTTCACAGTATTCCAGTTGTGGTCTGGCCAGTGCCTTGTATAGATTTGGCAAAACCTCCCTACTTTAAATTACATTCCATTTGAAATAAAGGCCAAGTTTGTATTTGCTTAAAATAAATTACCTGCTGAACTAGCATCTTTTTGAGATTTACGCATGAGGACTCCAAATCCCTCTGTGCTGTAATTTACTATGGTCTTTTTTGGTTGAAATAATATCCAGTTCTTCTATACTTCCTGCCAAATTGCATAACTTCACATTTCCCATATTTATTCCATCTGCTAAGTTTTTGTCCTTTCACTTAACCTGTCTATGTCCCTCTGCAGACTCTTTGAGTCATCCCTACCACTTGCCTTCCCACCTATTTTTGAGTCATCCTCAAACCTGGCTATAGTACACCACTTTTCACATCCAAATCATAAATATATATTTAAATAGTTGTGATCCCAGTGGCACTCCAGTCATTGAAGGTTACCATCCTGACAACTGTCCCCCTTATCCCAACTTCCAGTGTTCTATTACTTTGCCAATCCTCTATTCATGCTAATATACTGCCTCCAACATCACAGGTTCTTACCTTATTACATAGCTTAACCTAACCTTATCAAACGTCTTCTGAAAATGCAAATATATTACATCCACTGTTTCCTCTTTATTATCCTGCTCCATCCAGGTGTTCTTTCCCCTGTCTGTGCGTGTGTGTAAGGGAGAGTGTATGAAAGGATTAGAATTTTAATCAGTAGTGTCATATGCTGATGTTTTATAAGTGTTTACCTTTAGCTACAATTTAATTACTTGTAATAAGTAGTAATTATTGCTCAATACAGAAACCTGGTGTATGCTTTCTATCAAACTGGATCTAGAAATCAGGTAAATTTGGAAATGCATACTTATTTTAAAATCTTAATCTTTCGCCATAAATCTGGGAATAGCAGGGCTTGATTTACAGTGTGCTAGTGAATCTAACAAGACCATAGCTTGAATACAACGATCGCCGACTTAATGGAAAGATTTATATGGTGCAGGTGGTATAGAGAAAATCTACAAAAATGATGGTTTTATCGGAGATCTGGATTAAAAACATAACTAAATGTTTATAGCGAACAGACACATTGTGTTCTTTTACATTGCCTAGAGTTTTTATTGTTGATTTGTAGATTGCATCCTGTAGTTCTGTCCGTTTTCACTTTTCCCATTATTAATGCACAAGGAACAGCCTTTACCATTAATGCTTCATGTTTTTGTGATCACCGCCACTGCATAATCGGTCCCTATTTGGTCAGGCTGCATCTGCCTCTGTATATTTGCAAGAAGTGCTCTCTTTTGGTTATGGCATCAATAAATGTATTGGCCTGAATTTTGAGATCTGCTGCAAAATGCTTCCTCTCTCTTTAATCCCAGCTTTCTTTCCTTTCTTTATTTTGTTTCATACATCATAGTATACTGAATTACATATTTTAACTTATACTTTCTGGAAGAGGGTCTTTCTATATAAATATTTTTCAATCTGGTGGGTTAAGAAAACACACATTGCTTGCCCTCCACCCACAAGCCAGACCCCCTGCAAAGGACAGTGAACTGTTTTATCTGGTTGATGACCTCAACCGCAATGTAGAAGCTCACAGATTCGATGGCCTCTTCTGTATTCTGAGATATCTTTCTTGTGGTTAGTTAGTGAAACATATTCAAAAGGCTGCAAATTTTCTTTAGCAATGTAACAGAAGTATAAAAACCAAGTTATTTGTTAATTTCTCAAGTCCTGAGAAATTATACCCCCATCTCAACTCATTCTGGTTCTACTTAACCGACTTCTACCAATTTCTTTACCATGGACTATGAAGACAATTTGATGTGTCCTTTCCGACATGAACTTTTTAAAAATCTGAGGACCTTAACTGTCTACTGTCTAAATTCTAATAACCTGCAGATTTCTAACCAAACTCTCCTGAATTGGAAGCTATACAAACTCAAGCCTTCCATTGAGCTAACTTGTTCTCTAACCTCCTCCTTGGAGGGCATCTAAACTGGATTCTAAACTTTATCCTGGCATGTTCTGAATTGAATTAAAAATAGCATGTGCAATCCTAGATTCTTTAGAACTGAAAACAAAATTTATGGCCTCACATGTATGCCTTACCTGTCATAAACCCAAAAGTATAAATATCCCTTAAGACCACAAGGGTCTGCAGTCACCTGCTTTCTGACTTTAAAGAACCAGAAGCAGCCAATACCCTTCTGCCTACATTTTGAAATCCAAATTCCAAAATAATATGTTAATACAGTAAATTTTGTTTTAACTGGTACCTTATGAACCAGCAGTCTCGCTAAATGGCAAAAATTATATACCACTAATACAGCAAAGTTTACTGTATTTTTAAAAATTCATTCAAGGGATGAGGGTGTCACTGGCTAGAACAGCCTTTTTTGTCCATCCCTAATTGCCCAGAGGGCAGTTAAGAGTCAACCACATTGCTGTGCACCTGAAGTCACATGTAGGCCAGACTGGGCAAAGACTGCAGTTTCCTTCCCTAAAGGACATTACTGAACCAGATGGGCTTTTTAATGACAATTAACAACGGTTTCACAGTCATCATTAGACTCTTAATTTCAGACTGTTATTGATTTCAAATTCAAGTGTCTGCCATCTGGGTCTCTGGATTAACACAGGCCAGTGATTATACCACTAGGCCATCGTCTTCCCAAATAATTCTGCCCAATTATTAGAATTTTAAAAATTTATTTACCTCAATGTAAATATACATGTTATTCAATCAAATGGCCAAACGAAATATCAACAGTTGATTCAATTTTGAGTCAATTTCTCCTCAAATACCATGATCTACCGCAATGTCCAAGTAGTTAGTTGAAGGTGCGAGTAAGAAGACTCTCTGCCGTTAAGTTTTATTTAAGGCAAAGTTGCATTATTATTGAAGTGATTTATGCTGTAAATAAAGTATAACAGTGATGTGTATATCCTCTGCATTATGTATTTATTACTTAGTGTTTGTTTTTAACATTGATTATGCGGACATCTTGATTATGCGGCATATTTGATCAACCGGCACATTCCTAGTCTCATAGGTGCCGATTTAAAGGAAAGTTTGCTGTATATATTAATTATATACATCTCATCACAATTAGTGCACATCACCATAACCCAGCAATATACTGTATGGAGGTCCTTCTTCATTTAGAACATTGGCCAAACCTGCTGAAAACTCAACACAACACCATGTTCTTTATCGTATTATTTGTTCTTGAAATGTGAATGCTTCTGGCAAAGCCAAGCCCATCTCTAATTGCCCTCAGGAAGGTGATTTTGAGCTGCACCTTGAGCTGCTGCAGGCCATGTTTGAAAATCCCACCTGAATTTATAGGCAGCATTAACTATATACCTCTCATGCATTAGAATATAATTTATCTTTTTTTAAAAAATGAAATAAAATGTATATTTTAACTTTTCCAACGTCACAGAATGATGCAGGAGACAACCATTCGGTCCACTGTAGCAGGCTCTCTAAATGAACATTATCACAGTGCTCAAAAATAGAAGTTGCTGGAAAAGCTCAGTAGGTCTGGCAGCATCGGTGAAGAAAAAATCCGAGTTAACGTTTCGGATCCAGAGACCCTACCTCAGAACTGACCTGCTGAGCTTTTCCAGCAACTTCTGTTTTTGTTCCTGATTTACAGCATCTGCAGTTCTTTCGGTTTTTATTATCACAGTGCTATTCTCTTGCCTTTTCCCTCTAATTGTGCACATGGTTTCTATTCAAATAAATATCTAATGTCTTCCTGAATGAATGCATCAAACCTAAATTGAAACTGCCTTCACTCTTCTAGGCAGTACTTTCCAGACCCTAATTACACATTGTGTAAAATTATTTTCTCATATCGCATTTGCTTCTTTTATAAAACAATTTAAATCTGCGCCCTCTCATTCTCCAATTCTTTTACAAGTGGGAACAGTTTTTCTCCCCGTCTACTCTGTCCAAACCCCACATGACTTTGATATTTTTCTATCAGATCTTCTCTTTGCTTTTTTGCCTCCAAGGAAAAGTTCCAACTTCTCCAATGTATCTTCATAACTGAGACTTTTCATCCCCTGAAACATTCTTGTAAACATTTTCTGCACATTCTCCAAATGTGTTCACTGCCTTCCTAAAGCACCCAGAATTATAAACAATACTCAGCTGAATTCTAATAAGTGTTTTATACAAGTTCAGAATAATCTCCTTTCTCTTGTATTCTACATCTCTATTAATAAAGCCTGAGAAAATGTTTATAAACTGCTGCCTCTGCCCATTTTGTCACCTTAATAATTTTGTTATGGACCAGACCAGAGCCCTCAAAATATTATAAGGCAGCCTAGACACTACCATTTTCTTACTTTAAAGGTAGATATCAAGTTCCAGCTGCGATGCGACTGGTCAAATTATTCAACGTTAAGCAAAACACAATTTATTTATACACTACAGTTAAAATACAAACAAAAGAAAGAGGAATTTAGAACTTAACAGAATGAAAGGTTCAGTACCTATTACTAATTTACTGTTCCACTATAGTAACATCCCATAAACACACCCCTTGGCAAAAAGGCAAATTTAGATACAGATTCTTACATGCAGTTCTCCAATCCAGGAGGAAGAAACATCAACAGCAAATTCAGAAAGTGTTGCAGCCAAGAGAAATTTACTGAAGCTTCCTACTCTTTTGAGACCCAAAAAAGCTTCTGATGTTACTAAAAAAACATCAAAACCCAGAAATTTGGATCTTTGACAACTGGCCACACCCATTCAGGTGAAGAGGAGATCTGATAGAAATTTTCAAAGACCTAAAGACCTTAAGTCATCTTCAGGTAGCTTGTTTGGTACCTCTGCCTTACAACCTATCTTCAAAAAGAAACAGGACAAAATAACCTTTTAAAGTGACAGCATTATCATAATTTAAGCATATACATCCAAGTCTGTCTTTTTCTTTACACCCTTCAGAGTAGTATCCTTAAGTCTCTCATGTTCTTCGTATCAAAACGTATCACCTCATACTTCTCTGTTTTGAACTTCTACCTACTCTACCAATTGTCAATGTCCTTCTGAAGTACTATACTGTCCATAAGACCATAACACATGGGAGAAGAAGTAGACCATTTAGCCCATCGAGTCTGCTCTGCCATTCAATGAGATCATGGCTGATCTGATAATCCTTAACTCCACTTTCCTGCCTTTTCCTTTTGATTCCCTAACTATTAAAAATCTGTCTGTCTCAGCCTTGAATATACTTATTGACTCAGCCCTCTGCGGTAAAGTGTTCCTCAGATCAACTACCCTTCCTCCTCACAATTCTTCCAAATTCTGTATTTTCCATGAACACTGAAACTGTTCTTTGTGCACCAACATCTAGTTCATTAATGTATATCAGGAAAAGCAAGGATTTAAATTCCAATCGCAGGGAACTCCAAACCCACCTCCACCCAAAAAAAACCAATTAACTAGTACTCTGTTACTCATCACTCATCCAATTTGTATTCGTGGTATTTCTGTCACTTTTAATCAACAAGTTCTAGAATTGTTCTCAAATCGATGATGTGGCACTATATCATACACCTTTGTACACCACATCAACAGCATTATCCTCATCGCCCTTCTCTGCTCAAACTTCATCAAAACAAATCCAGTAAATTAAACAATTTACCTTAAGAATTTCATGCTAGCTGTCTTTAATTGACCTACATTTGTCCATTAAACGATTAATTCTGTCCTGAATTATTGTTTCAAGAAGTTTCCCATCACTGCATCTGTAATCACTAGGTTTATCCTTGTACACTTTTTTAAATGAAGGCATTATGTTTGCAATTGTCCAGTCGTCTGGTGATTGGCAGGTGTTTTTTCCCTAGAGTGGGGGATTTCAAGACTACAGGGTCATATTTTTAAGGTGGGAGGAGAAAGATTCAAAAAAGGACATGAGAGGCAACATTTTCACACAGAAAGTGGCTCGTGTGGAATGAACTTCCAGAGGAAATGGTGGATGTGGGTACAGTTACAATGTTTAAAAGACATTTGGATCAGCACAACCTCTGAGTATAATGAAGACTGAAAAATTATGGCCAGTGTCTCCGCAATTTCTTCAGTAAATTGGATGCATTTCATCGGTCCCAGTGCTTTGTTGGCTTTGAGTATAGATAATCTATCCAATGCTGCCTCAATTTTGGCTCTAGTGACTGAATTTCCTTTTCCATCATCAAGACTTGTATAGCATCTGTTTCCCTTGTAAAGGGATATGCGAAGTATGCATTTAACTTCTGCTTTCATGTCTTAATCCCCTTTTGGTCCCTAATCAGCTCCTTTTACCACCCGGATACTATTTATATGCATAGAGAAGGCTTTCGGATGTCCTTTTAATCCAATCTCTTTTCATAATCCCTCCTTGCTTCTCTTATTTGCTTTCTCACCTCCTTTTTGAACCTTCCATAGTCAGCCAAATTGTCAATTGTAATTTCTACCTGACATCTGTCAAAAGCACTGTTTTTCTTCTTTTATCTTAATTGCTATCTCCTCTTCAATTCAGGTAGCTCTAAATTTGTTTGCCCTATTTTTCTCTTTTGAGGAAATACACCTAACTACTTCCAAATCATCTCTTCTTTGGAGGAAATGCATTGTTCAGCTAGTTTCTCCTGCTAATGTTTGGCTCCAGTTTATCCGGTCCGGCTCTGTTCTTCTTATTTTGGATTGTACATTTTTCTTTTCCACAGTCATCCTAAACCTTATGAGAAAATGATCACTGTTCCTTAAATATTCTGTTTAAACAAAAATATTGAAATACTTACCATCTCAAGCATTGCACAAAATTCATCCAGTCTGATTAACATTTCTTCAATGCTCTCATCAAGTTTCTTGGCCTACACAAGAAAAAGACACAAAGCACAAGCATGAGCCCACAATGATAAGTTGATATTAAAATCATATTATTTATTATTATCCTATTCAGTTTCTATTCTGTTACAGGGTGTAGTTATAGAGTCATACAGCATGGAAACAGACCCTTCAGTCCAACCTGTCTATGCCAATCATAAACCCTCAAGTGAATGAGTCCCACCTGCTGGCACTTGTCCCTACATCTCTCCAAACCCTTCTTATTCATGTGCTTATCCAAATGTCTTTTACACATTGTAACTATACCCATATCCACCATTTCCTCTGGAAGTTCATTCCACACGAGCCACTCTCTGTGTAAAAATGTTGCCTCTCATGTCCTTTTTTGAATCTTTCTCCTCCCACCTTAAAAATATGCCCCTAGTCTTGAAATCCCCCGCTCTAGGGAAAAAACACCTGTCAAACACCATCTCTATACACATCATGATTTTATAAACCTCAGTAAGGTCACCCCTCAACCTTCTATGCTCCAGGGAAAAGTCCCAGCCCATCCTTTCCTTATAAACCAAAATGCTCCATTCCCAGCAACATCCTGGTAAATCTTTTCTGAATCCTCTCCAGCTTGATAATATTGTTCCTATAATAGGGCGACCAGAACTGGGCACAGTACTCTAGAAGAGGCCTCACCAACGTCCTGTACGACCTCAACATGACATCCCAACTCCCAACCTCAAAGGTCTGAGCAATGAAAGCAAGTGTGCTAAATGCCTTCTTAACCACACTATCTACATGGGATGAAACTTCTAAGATCTATGGACCTGAACCCCTTAGTCTCGCTGCTGTACAACACTACCAAGGCCCTACTTTTAATTGTATAAGTCCTGACCTTGTTTGTTTTACCAAAATGCAATACCTCTCATTTATCCAAATTAAACTCCATCTGCCACTCCTCAGCTCATTGACCCAATTGATCAAGATCTCTTTGTAATGTTGGATAACCTTCTTCACTGTCCACTATACCACCAACATTGGCATCATCCACAAACTTACTAACCATGTTCGGAAGGGTACTGCAGGATTTTGATCCAGCAACAGTAAAGAAATGGAGATATATTTCCAAGTCAGTATGGTGAGCGGCTTGGAGGGGAACTTGCAGGGGATGGTGTTCCCATGTAACTGCTGCCCATGTCCTTCTAGATGCAAGTGGTCGTAGGTTTGAAAGGTGCTGTCTAAGGATCTTTGATGTATTTCTGCATCTTCAGTGCAGCGCCCATTGCCTCAGCACTGATCCTCTGACAATGTGATGCGCCTTCAGCACTGACCCTTCGACAGTGCGGCGCTGATGATCTGTGGGAAGCTGTTGGAACTACATCTCCCAGATTATGCGAATATATTAATAACGTTATATCCTGGATAAAAGGGAACTTGACCTGCATGGTACATAGACGTTAAACAAAATTAACAAGGATTTTCTTTGTCTACTTGTTCTGGGGATAATAGTGTCACTGACAAGGCGATTAATTGCCCGCGCTCGATTGTCCATGAGAAAATGGTCGTAAGCCGATTTCTTCTTCTTCTTCAGTACAGGGATATAGGTATTGCTAGGTAGGCCAGTATTTATTGTCCATTCCTAATTGAACTGTGAGGCTTGCTAGGCTATTTCATTGGGTAGTTAAAAGTCAACTGCATTGCCTTGGGGTTGGAATTGCATGTAGACAAGACAGGGTAAGGATACAGTTCGGCGTTGATGAAAATCAACCAAGCAGCTGGTTGCCTTGATACCAGTTTCTAATTCCGGACTTTTTTTTAAAATGGAATTCAAATTTCAGCATCTGCCATGTTGGGATTCAAATATATATCCCCAGAATATTAATCTGGGACTTTGGATTACTAGTCCAGAATCACGACCACTACATCATTGCTTCCACCAGAAGTTACGGGACCTTTAAGGAATAAGTCATAAATGAGGGCTTACCATTGTATTTGATCATATGTAATGTGTAAATTAAACTGTCCCTTGCTATCCCATAATGCTTTCTTGTTATAAAACCTTAAATTAGAGAGTCTGATCCATGTCCTTTACAGATGCTTTTTTTTTTGAAAAAGAATTCTCTTTAAAGAACTTTAAAGATATCTAAGTTATCATATAAAGAAGGCTTTTGATAGAAGGAATAAAGGTATGGTTGGATAACTTACCTTTCACGATCCCAAAATGTATAGTAAAATACGAATTCACCATATTTGCCAATGGACAACCCAGCTATTGGGAACTTAAATTTCAAAATGACAGACTTTGTAATAATGGAAAGAGATTAGCCTAATTTGGCCAATACCTTTTTGAAAGGACTGTAAGTAAAACACCTACATAACATGGATTTATCTTCAAAAGTATGGGACAACTTGCTTTTGTCATTTTAATTATCTCTTATTAAAAGAAGGCGAACCCAATGTCCTCATTGGGGGAAAAAAGAAGTCAGTTCAAAACGAAAAAACTTACTGGTGTACCTTATCCATTCCATTACATCACTTATTTACTGATATTTTAGCACTTCATATCTAGTGCAGAGACAATGACAGGTGGATAAAAGATAAACAATTGGGATCGCGTCACCACTTGTGTTATAACAAGCATTGTCACTATAGTTTACTGTTACTAACAAAAAATCTACATCTGGGTCTTAAGCATGATATTTGCAAGCAATCAAACTGACAGCTGCTAGAAACTATTATTTATTTTTCCTGAATCGTTCTCTCTCTGTTTGAAATAATTATTGAGTAAGAATCCATTGTAGCTTCATAAACTTTCAGATTTTTGGACATAAGGGAGATTTGATTTGTGTTATGATCCCAGCCCTTGGTAATACTGACCCCAGGCGGAAACCTGGCTGGATAGAGATTAACTTAGTTTTTTTAAAAAAAATTATCATAGAGGTCAGTTACTGAACACATTCTCAAGAATATGCAGATGTACATTTAACACAAAGAACAAACATTTTTTAAACATCAATAGTGGGAAAACTGATGAAGGCCATAATACGGTATAAGGTATATATACACTTACAAGGAAAAATAAGTTAATACTTGACAGTCAACATAGCTTTGTCAAGAGCAGGTCATGACTGACAAACTTAACAGAGTTCTTTGATAAGCTAAACAGGCAGTGGATGACAGTACTGTTGTGGATGCTGTACATTGGGACTTCCAGAAAGCATTTGATACTGTGTCACATGGCAGATTGGTTAGCAAATTAGAAGTATCTGTGATTGATGGGTCTTTGTCAGCATGGATTAGAAGTTGTCTTAAAGACAGGAAACAGCAGGTAGGTATAGATGGGCATTTCTTTGATTAGAGCCAAGTTGAAAGTGGGATTCCCCAAGGATTGGTGTTGGGACCCTTGCTTTTTCTGATTTTATGAAATATTTGGATATGAGTATTGAGGCAAATTCCCTAAATTGGCAGATGAAACTAAGCTAGGGAAAACAGTGAATTGTGAAGATGATGCTGAGTGACTTCAGAGGGACTTTGACAAGTTGGCCAAATGACCTGGCAGATGAATTTCAATGCAGAGAAATGTAAGGTAGTGCATTTTGGTAGAAGAAACACAGAGATACAATACAGGTGCAATGGTACAACTTTGAGGGCAGAACATGAGCAGAAGGACCTAGGGTTCATGTGCATGGTGCCCTGAAGGTGGCCAGGCAAGCTGAAGCACTTGTTGAGAAAGTTTAAAAGGATCCTTGGCTTTATAACAGAGGCATTAAGCATAATAACATGGAAGTGATGCTAACCTCTACAAATCACTGGTCAAACCACATTTAGAGTATTGAAGGCACCTTATTTAAGGAAGGATATGAAAGCCCTGGAGAGAGTTCAAATGAAATTTATTAGGACGATACTAGGAATGAAAGATTTTAGATACAAGATTAGAGAAATTAGGCTTATTTTCGTTGTAACAGAAGATTATGGTGACCTTATTGAGGTGTTCAAAATTATGAACAATTTTAACAGGGTAAAGAAAGACATTCTGTTTCCACAAGTCAGTATGCCAGCATCTAGGGATCACAATTTCATGACTGTCAGCATATGACAACTAGGACTGAAGTGAGGAACAACTTTTTTATGCAAAGAATTGTTAGGATTTGGAATGCACTGCCTTGGAGAGACGTGGAGGTGGATTCCACAGGAAGCCCCATTGAGAGCTGGATATAAATTTGAAAGAGATGAATTCATAGAGCTACAGAAATAGGGTCGGAGAATAGGACTGCCTGAGTAGCTCTTTTGGGAGCCAGTACAGACAGGATGGGTCAAACAGCCTCCTTCTGTACTGTAAAATCCCACAGATTCTACAATTCTAAGGAGAAAAAGGCCTGAATTATATTGCAAGAGACAAAAAGGCTGGAAAGATTTCATTTTGAACACCAGAAAAGGATTCCAGCTACCCCTTTTATGTCAGGAATAATATCCTTACAAATAATGTCCTAGCAAAGATTTGCCACCATCACCACATCAAGACTTCTTGCTCCGGCTGGCACAGCTGCAACAAGTTTCCTTCTGGTGAACTTCTGTGTATTCACTTGCTATTCTTGTTTCCTTCCGCTGATACCTCTGCCCAAGACATTGAAAGCAAGCTGCAAACTGAATTCACGGTTACATTAACTTCAGAGAAAACGCGACTCAATTCCCAGTAGTCTTGCAGAATTTCCTACAAGTATGTTGAACAATTCGCTCTCTGGCACACCCAGACAATCACTGACTCCCTTCTGGATTTTTCTTTATCTGTGTCTCCCTTGGCAACAGGAGTTCTATTTTATTTAATGCAGTAAATTACAACCCCCATCTGGGTTTGTAAAAGCATATCAAAAAGCTTGAAATATAAATGGAAATATTCTTCATCTTGACAACAAAAAGGAAGAAAATAATGTGATGCAAACTATAAGATTCATGTATATTTTTTTAAAATCATTGTTAATTTGAATTTATGGTTTTTGAGTTAATAACAGGTGGGTTTTCTTAGAGTCTAAAGTTA